TGTATTCATTTTGATTTACTTTCCTTTTTTTATTTTTAGGTTGCTGGAAGTTTTTGGCCAGAACCCGGTATATAGCCAGTTTGCTGAAATCGCCTGAAAGCTTTTCTCAAATGAGTGAACTATTCTTCAGCGAAGAAACCTGTGAAGTATTTATGGCTTTATCCTTTGCCAAGCACTTCAAATCAGATGTTTACAAACAAGAACAATGTAAAAGATATCAGATGTTAATTTTCTTTTGTACCTGTGTGGCTATGATGCCACGTAGCACTTGACTGAATGAGTTGGATGTGATGTCCAAATTGCACAATGACGGGGTTGGTCAGGTTATCGATGCACAGATTTCTATAGCTCGTACTTTCCCTCTGCTCTCCGGCCTTGTGTGGTTGGGTGGGTGTCTGTCTTTAATGGTACGGCCGTTTATTGGTGTCTTTTGGTGTCACTTTAAATAATGCACTAACTTAGGTGTATGTTATGGCAGGATTTAGTAAGGGACATAAAGATCAACACTGCATGATGGTACTTAAGCTGAAGTTTAGCTAGAAAAAACAATCCTTACAGCTCTAGTCACACCACTTACCTGTAATAAAGGATATCCCATGCTGTGCAGGCAGCTGGATCCTAGAGAAAGATGTGCAGGGATGGCTGTCATCTTACTGTCTCTGAAAATCTGGTGCTGCAGTGATTAACTGCTTCGGATCTTCAGGCAGAAGAGCAGTACAGTATCTGATGATGACACCCCCTTCTTCCTCCTCCTCCATTGAAAAACATTCTTCCATTGATTACACTGTCTGTAACACAGTCTGTGAATGGGGGAAAGTCTGATCAGTTACAGGATTCTCTTCCGCGTACACAGATCCTGATACAAGCAGTATTCTCTGTGGAAGAGAGAACTCAATGGAGAGATGAGAAGGAGGGGCCCTTTTCAGGTCATCTGTACTGCTTTTCCGCCTGATGATCAAAATCTGTTAACCATCACAGCTCTAGAAGTTCAGTGGCAGGAAGAGGACAGCCATCCCTACACAGAAGATTTCTCCAGGATCCATCTGCCTGCATAATGTGGGGCATACAGTACTTATACAGGTATGTGATGTGACTAAAGCTGTAGAGAATGTTTAAGCTACACTTCCGCTTTGGAAAACATTAGTAGTACGCACCATTTTACCTTAGAGGCCATTTAAATGTAAAGAAAAAAAAAGCGAAATTGCCAGTAGTGTACGTGTTATGTTGTTGTGTTCTTCTTTTTTTTTTTTTTTTTTTTTTTTTTTTTTCTTCTGGCCTGAAACAATGAATCTAACAGGAGTTAGAATTCCGAACATTTGACCCAGAAACAATCAGAGTGTCTCTAATAATTCTCTCTGATATTTTAATTTATCTGCCAAAGATATTTGTAAAATTCTTATAAACCATATTGAAGATGCCCGGGGCTGGATTTACTGTTGAACACAGTATGCCTGTAGGTGGGAGAGGCCCTCACTTTTTTCCTATAAGTAGAAATACAGGCCTCTCCTATAAGCATTTAACATCCTGTTACAGTATTCTAAAGCAGATTAGGACCATTAAATAATGTTCTGTGATGGAAACTGGCCTTGTCACATTTCACAGCCAGAGAGTAAGCCCACTACCTTCTGGGTCACATTCCTTCCGCCAGACTATGAATAGTCATCCTACTGGTGAAATTCTCCCTGTGTTTTCCCTCTTGTATGCCTAAAAGAACGCCTTACCCTTCAGCTGCCAGTGACGGTAACATGTAAATGAATTGCTACTGTACAGTGCAATAGAGCCTAATGAGCTTTTCGGGCTTGCAGTCCCAATTAACTATAATTCTGCGAGGGATTATAGGAAGCCAGTGTGGAGATGTATTTATGGGTATAGTAATGCTACTAAAGTTGTATTGGCCTTACTTAAAGGATAAGTTCACTTTTGGGAAGATGCTACATGTTCCACTGTTTTTAGGGTGGAACATGTAACATGTTCCCAATGCTGCATCCCCTGCCCACCCCATGACAGAAGTACGGGGAGAGGTTCCCCTTACTAGCTGTCACTTTTTAGGTACAGCACGGCCGCATCATTCATTCACATGAATGAATGAGCTACAAGTCCTGACAGCCATAGTGGCTGTCGGCTTGTAGTTCTCAGTAATTAAAGTGGTGCTGTGGAGTGTCATGGTAGTTCATTCCAGTCAGCATATCTGCTTGCAGGGAGACAGGTTTGTAGGAGACCTGCATGGCACCAGCGGTGGTGGAGCAATGCTTTACAGGCTTCTGCAACCAAAAGTAATAAATGCACATTTTGTAACCTGCAAAATGTTATTATTTTTGGTCAGAAGGTGAACTCATCCTTTTAAATGCTTTAACGTTTCTGAGTACATAACTGGACATAATGGTGGACATTTATATTTGCCAAGAGTTCCTCTGTAATACAAACTTGTGGACATAACATTCATATACAATTAACATGGTTAACTGTAGGCATGCCAGTTCTGGTCCTTCAGAACACATTAGGAGTGCCAAATGCCAAATTCTGCAGAGACAAGCTCCTGAGATTGCCATCTTTGACCTGTGGCTTCTTACTTTCTGCAGTCCTCTGTTGGTTTATGAGTCTATCCATCACAGCGATGGGCCAGTAGTAGGCTTCTGGAGGATAATGGGAATGGGAAAGAGCTAGGGACCACAGGAGTTGGCTTCAGACTGCATATTAAAGTGTCCAAGAGTTTGGGCTTCTAAAGTGCTCTACAGGAAGATGGCTTCCAGGTTGGCACCTTTTTATGTGTCAGTTTTGTATGAATTTTACACGTATAGTTATGCTGTAAAAATCTTGGCAAAAATGTCTGGCACTAAGTATGTGAGGATCTGTCCAGCATTGGTTTATTCAGCTTTGTTTTCCCGTATGTGCCAGTGTCCTGCTACTGTATGAGCCATATGCATGCACCTACACTCTGTGTGCACATATTCTTATTGCAGTAATCTACATTAATTTGGCTGTGCCTTGTAATTGGATACGATCCTATGTATAGCCTTAACAATAATTCAGTTACCTACATTTTTTTAAAATGTTTCATTTTAATATTTGACACTTTTCTGTTTTGTGAGTCCTAAATGTTTTCTATTATTAATTCTATTTTTAAATGTCTTGATATATATGTGGAAGTTTTGATAAAAGTCTGGCCTGCTGATGGTGTGTGCAAGACCACAGTACAAGGTGGTATTAAAAAGTTTAGAGAGTTTTGTAACACGTCAACATATGGCAGCACAAGGGTGGAGGGACAGTCACAGGGAGCACCGACCTTCATAAATCAGCGTGGCAAAAGACATCGTCCTGTGGACATTTGGAGCTGTGCAACTGGTGCTTTTCTGACCACATGCGTTTACCATGTCTGCTATTTCATCATGGACAGCAAATTCTGCGTGAAACTGGGCAAATCTGCCACAGAGGCATTTGATATGATTCAGCAAGTTTACAGGGATGCTGCAGTGAGTCATTCGAGGTCTTTTGAGTGGCATGTGTGCTTCAAGAGCGGAAGAACATCACTGAAAGACAGTGAGAGATCAGGAAGATCTTCAATGAGCTCAACCCCCAAAAATGCCAAAGATGAAGATCCAGCTCAAAGGTTGCCATATTAACAGCATTACAAAGATCCAGTGATTTGCCCAGTTTCATGCAGAATTTCACACTTGCTCTTTGTTCTGACTTGCGGTCCATGATGAAATAGCAGACGTGGTAACGCACGTGGTCAGAATAGCACAGCTCCCAATGTACACAGGACGATGTCTTTCAGCACACTGACTTATGAAGATTGGTGCTCCCTTTGACTGTGTGTGCAGCCTTGTGCTGTCATCTGTTGGCATGTTACAAAACTATTCTTAACTTTTTGGTACCACCTTGTATAATTTGCTGATGGTGTGTGTAAGCTAAGGTAGCCTACCCAGAGTTCTTCCTTCTGACACCTGTATCTGGCATCACACATCATGTCTTTTCTGCACAGCCATGTTCAATGCTGGCCTCTTAGTACTAAGCTCAGTATTTACACAATAAGTTGTATATAACATGGATAAAATATTTCAGTGTAAAAGACTGCAAATGCCATTTAAGAGGTTTTATTTCAGATTTGTTTAGCCAATACTCTTGCTGTCTTGTAGCTGTATATCATTATGTAGTCTATATAAAGGGGTTTAAAAAATGCTGTGATGATTGCAGTATGACTGCTTCCAGCATCATCCATGTGACAGTTGCAGATTTCTTTTGTGATTCACATCTGTGTAACCAACAGATTATATTTTTTAATTACAAAAATTATACACATTAAACTGTTTATGGCTTTTGCACGTGGGATTCTTCTACCCATGACTCTCAAGTTATGTGCTTTCTAACAATGATTATAGGCAAAGATGAGAGTTGCCCAATGGATTGTTTTACAACCAGATGAGGTGCCACTAAAATTGGAACAGGGGGATTAGATTATGTATACCAAGAACTTCTAGTTTCTTTGTCACCAGTTGGAACTTAGATTCATGTATGGAGGGTATAGAAAATACACACAAAATAATGCAGAAAAGAACACTATAGTGCAGTGATGGCGAACCTTTTTGAGCCCGAGTGCCCAAACTGCAACACAAAACCAACTTTTTTATTTCAAAGTGCCAACACTGGAATTAATCACTTGCCTACCGGGCACTTCTACCCCCTTCCTGCCCAGGACAATTTTCAGCTTTCAGTGCTGTTGCACTTAACAAAGACAATTGTGCGGCCATGCAACACTGTAACCATATGCAATTTTTATCATTTTTTCACACAAATAGAGCTTTTTTTGGTGGTATTTAATCTAATCACCACTGGGTGTTTTTATTTTTTGCACTATAAATGAAAAAAGAGCAAAAAATTAAAAACATAAAAGGTTTCCTTTGCTTCTATTCTAAAATTTTGCAAACAGGTAATATTTCTTCTTTGATGTGCGTTGGTGAGGCTGCACTGATAGGCAGCACTGATGGGCATTGATGAGGCGGCACAGATAGGTAGCACTGATGGGGCGGCACTGGTGAGCACTGATGAGGAGGCTCTGATGATGCACTGATATGCAGGAAATGATGGGCACTGATAAGCGGCACTGACAGCACCAACTGGAGGCACTGACAGACGGCACTGACCGGCGGCACTGCTGGGCATCATTGATGGGTGGCACTGATGGGCAGCACTAATGAGGTGTCACAGATAGGTGGCACTGATAGACGACACTGATAATGGGTACTGATAGACAGCACTGATAGGTGGCACTGACTGACATCACTGCTGGGCACTGACTGGCACAACCGCTGGGCACTGACTGGTGGCACTGCTGGCAGCACTGCTGGGCTGCACTGATGGGCACTGGTGGGCGCACTGGTGGGCACTGGTGGGTGCATTGCTGGGCATAGGTGGGCGCACTGCTGGGCACAGGTGGGGGCACAGGGGCGCATTGCTGGGCACAGGTGGGCGCACTGCTGGGCACAGATGGGCGGAACTTGTGTGTGGCACAGGTGGGCACCGATCATCAGGGCACTGATGATCAGTGACCCTGATGATCGGTGCCGATCCCTGTTCTGACAACTGCCGGTTTTCGGCAGTACTTTCCTCACGATCTGACAGCGTGAGGAAAGTGCAGCCGAGAACCGGCATTTGCATTTCCCGGTGATCAGCTTGTCATTGGACACGGCTGATCACGTAGTAAAAGGCCGCTGTGATTGGCCTTTTACCATGTCACGTGATCAGCTGTGTCCTGCAGGACACAGCGATCACGCGCATCGCCCGGTGCGAGAGCGCAGTTTCTCTTCCTCTTCCTCTCTTCCTCCTGGGGTGCCCACTGAGATGGCTCTGCGTGCTGGCAGCGGTTCGCCATCACTGCTATAGTGGTTAATCAGTGGCTAGAAATTCTGGGAAAAGCATGCTGGCTGTGAGTCATAAAAACTTTGCAACCATTTGAAGTGCTATTATTATTTTTTTCTAAATAATTGATGGCATAATTGGTTTACAGGACAGAAGAAGTATTTGCTTAAAGCCTACGTTGAGTCAGAAATAAAAAAAATAAAAAAATGAAAAAAAATCCATGCAAGGGACATTAACAGTCAGTAGGATGTGTCCCTTGTGCTGCAGTTTTCTCTATTAGCTGAAATGCTTCTCCATCAACTCCCCACCACCACCCCCACCATAACCTTCTGGTTTGGTGGGGGTTAATAGTACATGAGGAGTTGTGACAGGCACTATTAAAGATTACCTGACTATGGCTGCCCTTTCCATCCATAGAAACTGTACTATAGCTTTTATGAACGAAACCAGATCTATGAATGGAGGTTGGGCAGATGATTGAAAGGCCTGCCCTGGTCCAGGCCTCATGTTTCACTCATAGAGGCTGTAGCATGGCTTCTATGAATAGAACAGCTGAGCGCAAGTTAGGGTGGATTTGATTTAAATCACGATTTAAATCACTAGTCAGTAAGGCTTGATTTAAATCCTAGTTTTCTACATAAAGACTAATTCTTGCTGGTATAACTTTAATATGCAAGTAGATGAAGATTTTTAGAATAACAACTTTTCATATTAGTTTTTTTTATCCCCAGTTTAATAGGTTAATCATTCATATTTGGACAACTTTTCTGTTGTACTTAGGAAGGAGAAAAATAATCATTACCTTAATAATAACAATTTAAATAGATTTATTCAACTGAAACAACATTCCAGCATATGTTATTTGCTTAAACAAACATCCATGTTTGTTAACTAATTTGGCTAAACAAAATATATATATTTTAAGAAACTTAGACTGTCAGCCCCTTCCTCCTCACACTTAGTTTCACTTTCTTCTTGTGCAGATTTATTCCACTCCAAACAATCAGAAAAATATTGTTTCTATTCTATTCACTGAACTTCTTGAAACTTAGCACTGAAGGGGTTGATTCTGTATTCATAGTTTGTAGAAGTTAGGATTAAGGTCTTTTTCTTAACTCTGTTCATGTTATAACATTTTTGCTGTGAAGAAGAGGCATGTGATCTCCGCTGAGTCCAATTCAGTTTTGAGAACTGCAAAAGTAAACCAAGCATCTGTGATAATATCTTGTAGGCAGAGAAACTGCCCAATAATCTTACAAAAACCTCTGGAAGAGCATGACATTGTGAATGGATTCATGGAATTTATTTACCAAACAAATTAAACATATACAGCCTTATTCTACATAATTAAAAAACTAATCTTTATTTCATGATGGAATAACCTTTGGATGGTAATATATTTTCCTCCAAAAAGCATTTTATTTAAAAAAAATCTGATTTAAATAAAAAAAATCTGATTTAAATAAAAAAAATCCGATATATTATATATATATATATATATATATATATATATATATATATATATTTTTTTTTTTTTTAATTTTTTAAAAAAAAATCATTGATTTTTATCCACCCTGGCGCAAGTGGCAGGCATAGCTGGGTACTCTTGATGAGAACCTGTTGAAGCTCGGTAGGCTGTATTAAACCCCCCCCCCCATTACTGGAAGATTACGGTGGTAAGGTTGAGGGGGGATTGATGGAGGATTTCAGCTAATAGGGGCGACAGCAGCACAAGGCACACATCCTACTGACTGTAAGTAACGTCCTTTATGCTGATTTTTTATTTTTGCTTTATGACTAAACTTAGGCTTTAATTCCACTTTAATATTTAATAGTTTGTCACATCATATTACGTCTTATGGTAAAGAAATCTTGTGGATAACAACTTGGAATTTCAGGTATAATCTAACCTTTCCTTATGTGTGTCATTTTAAAGCTGCTAATTTTATGCTGATATACAAAAATGATATCACTTTTATTTTCTACGTTCTTAATGTCCTAGTCACTCTAGTTTTGATTTCCTTTTATTTTTGTCAATCTCCTTTTTGGCTTCCACGAGTGGTGGAAGAATGTAGCACTGCCATCCCTAGCTGTCCACACCTTCATAAGAAGGCTTGATAGCCATCGAAAATGTGACCTACGGTAATCAGTATATTAATAATTAAAGAATTGACTCCTTATCCTGTGTGTTTTGTTTTTTTTTTTTCTTCATTTTGTTTGCATCAGTAATGTGTCCATAATTGTTGGTGAAGATATAGGGGAACTTTATTTTTTCAAGGTATTTTATTTGAATTATATACAATAAAGGAACTTTTAGGTTTTTTAACTTAATTCATTTGGTTTATAATCAATATGCAGCATTTTTAGCTGTAGTAGAAGTAGAACAACTTACCTGTTCATACCTACCTGGCCCAGTTTCTTAAAGGTGATATCCAGGTTTTGCTTAACTTTAAAGCGGATTTCCAGTCGCACTGCAAAAAAATAGTCAGCACAGCAGCTAAAAAACAGTCACCTGTCCCTCGATCCCGTGGTGTCCTTCCCGCAGCCCATTTGACTGGCCATCTGATGTTCCTGGCACCGGCATCTTCATTGTGGGCACCCAGCTGTGACAGTTTGCAGCTTCACACTCGGGTGCCAACTGCACATGTGCGCGTAGCGCTGCGCTTTCTGAATGGTCCCGTAGTCTTCTGGGACCTGTCACATGTTCCAAAAGACGGGGGGGGGGGGGGGGACACAACTTCCACTTCTGATCGCCTAGGTTATTGGGCCGGTGCTGCATTCACCTAGGTAGGTATAATTTAAGAAAATAATTTATAAAAAAAAACTTCTCTTTTTAAAATGGTGGTAAACCCTTACATATACCTAATGAAGAGACTAGCTTCAGATGATATACAGAGATTCATCAAATCCTCCTACATATGTTGTACCTGTTTGAACAGCTATAGAGAAGAAAGGGCTGCAGCTAAAGTACAGAATTTACACAGCATTTCTGAGCTTCAGAAGGCAGGGGTGGGGATCTAATGTCACATACTGCACAGCCTAGGGCAGGCAGCTGAGTGTAATCCGGAGATCTGAGTGGAGGGAATGGACACACCTTTTACATGGGGGGGGGGGGGGGGGGGCTGGTCTCATAAGGAAACATGCACTGTTGAGGCTGTCAATCACCTGCTGTGTGCTGGAGAGGAGGCAAAGGCCTTCTCCTGGGATTGTCTGGTGTAGGCATACTTGGTCAAAAGTGACTCATGGAGATAAGAGAGGAATGGCAGAGCAGATAGAAAACCCACTAAATGCTTTTTGATAAAGGCAAGTGTCACAAGTTAGCCTGCAATTTCTTGTTTGTGTATTCTTACCTCCTTGCTGCAGTGCTGTTCCTAATTCCTTCACATGTGTGGTTTATCTGTGCTCACCTATTGGTGTCACCTGCTATTCTCCTTTGGGTTTTATTTTCTTCCCTTCCATCACTTCCTGACCCGCCTGCTAGTTTGCTTGTCTATATAAGACATGCTCAGTCTTGCCCACTTTGCCTGAGCAACTTCTTAGCTCTCTGAGCTCCCATTTGTTGCTACTTCTGTATCCTGTGTCTTACTACCCGTGTACCGATCCCAGCTTCGTCCACCAACTGCTTGTTTTCTACCCATCCTAACCTTGGCTTGCCTACCAGATTTCCTGTTGTCTCCTGCTCATGCAAACGTTCTCTGCATCCTCAGCTGGTCGCACTTGGGGGCCTTGACCTGGTTCCAGGTTGCTACAAGTCCATCCCCACCATCAGGGGCCCTGGGGAAGAATCGGGCTGGGGCTTAGACTTCGCACCCTGGGGAACCCTGAGTAACCCTGAGTTTGCGATTTACATGGGCTCACTACCTCAGATGCTTGACAGGCAAGTACACATTATAGAAGGATATGCTTTTATTTTTTGTTTCAAAGGTTTACGCCCACTTTAATGCTGCACTTGTGTGTCCTGTAGTTTCTTTACAGCCTCTCCAAGTGCACAGTCATAACCTACCTTCATATTTTTTCCTGGTTGCGATTGATTTTTTTCTTTTTTGCAACTATAATTTTTCTTTGATAAGGCATGTGACTGGGTGAAAGAAAGGAGATTGTGAGAGATGGTTAACCCATAACTCAAAATGCCCAAGAAGGACATGTATATCAATAAAAGAGGCTGTTACAGCTTATATGAGATTATAGTGGTTGGGTTTACATCTGCTTTAACAAAATGTGCTTGAGTTGTTTGAATTGTACAGTGCTGGGGTACATTTTATTGATCATTTCTCATGTGACCTGCCTCCTGCGTGTATAAGCAAAAATCCATTTAAATAATGTTACCCCCAGCATTTCATATACCTGATATGTGTCTTTTGTACCATGTACTTGTGTTAAAAATAGTATCCTGTTCTCTTTGTATTTCTTCCCTTGTGTGAAATACCTAGTGTTCCTGGCAGTCCTCCTGCTTTCCCATTTCAAACTGATCACACGCATGAGAGTACATGCATCCCAGTGTTTAGTTTTCTGGCTGCGCTGGGAGCTGAGCCTACCCGCTATTAAGCTCACTGACAGGTATAGTGATTAACATTGATTATCTCCTTACAATGGCATCTGAAAGTCAGTGGGATATATTAGGCAGCAAATAAGCATGTCCATGAAGTTGATGTGTTGAAAGCAGAAAAACTGGGCAATGCAGTTTGTTATATATGCGGCTGTGTAGCCTCAGACCGGTCAGGATGCCTATGGTGACCTGTGTGCACAACCAAAAGCACCCACAATGAGCACATGATCTTCAGAACTGGACCACAAAGCAA